CATTCAACAGTGCTGGTGTATTTATACAAAATTCAAAACCAGGCAAAATTAGTTAATGGTGTTAGAAGTCAATAGAGTGGTTACCACTGAAGAAAAGAGGGGAAAATATTGGACAAGGGAGCACAAGGGAGGCTTCTGGGTGCCGACAGCCTTCTATTTCTTGACCACAGTGGTGATTACATAGGTACATTTCATTTTGTAATAATTCATGAAACTGCATACACTTGTAATTTGTGCATTTTTCTGTGTGTATATTGCACTTTAGAAGTTTTTAAAAAATCAGGCCGGCCCTTGGCTCACTCGGGAGAGTGTGGTGATGATAAAAGCAAGGCCGTGGGTTCGGATCCCATATAGGGACGGCCGATTAGCTCACTGGGTGAGCGTGGTGCTGACAACACCAAGTCAAGGTCCCCTTACCGGTCATCTTAAAAAAAAAAAAAGTTTTTAAAAAATCAAACCTCACTTCAGATCATTCCCTATACATCACGTGAACGGTTTTCCACATTGGATGATGAAAATATCTTTTTGGCAACTGGAGGTTAGGGCTTTATAAGCAAAACATGGTGTAATGGAAAGACTGACTAGGAATCCGGAAACCCCGGCTCTGACATCAAACAGCTGTGACTAAACCTCTCTGGATCTTGGCTTCCTCGCCCTAGCCCATAAAATCGGTGTTGGATATTTAGGTCCATAAGGTTTCTCTCTCTCAGCTCTAAAGACGGGTCCGCTTTTGTTTTCTCCACAACGGGCTCACACGGTCGGTTGCGCCCGGGCATGTCCTTGTTCCGCCCCGCCATTTCTGGGTTTCCCAAAGGCCGGCCGCGGGAGCCCGGGTTCTGAGCCGGCTAAGGCGAGGACGAGTCGCGGCTGTGGAAATGAGCCGTGTCTGCGCCTTACACGCTCACCTCTGTCCGCAGGCCGCTCGGCGCCCTCCGACTTCGGTCCGCTGGCCTGGCGCGCGCCCGAGCCTGAGCAAGACCCCAGCCCCGTGGCCTGAGCCCCTTTCCTACTTCCTTACCCCAGATCTCTGCGCACAACCCAGGTGAGTTTCAGCTCCCCAACTCCGCGTCTCGGGGAGGGCCTTAGCTCTCTCTCTTCAGGGCTCGGTCTCTCGCCGCGGCTCGCGCCGAATCCGGCAGCTTTCGGAAATCCCGCCAAAGCCTCTGAGCAGGGTCACGCCCGCGTTAACGTAACGTCTCTCCGTCCTTCTGGGATCCGCCTTCTAGCCGCTTCCGCCACTACTCGCCGGAGATGGGCGCAAGGGACTTGAACCTGCATGATATTACGGTTTGCCCTCTTTCTCTTTTCCTCGAAGGACTAATTCAAACTTTGCCAGTTGCCGTCTTCTTTTTACCAGATCGAGGACTACAACTCCCAAGGGGTGGGGGTGGGGGGGTTCCGGCCCGGGACTACGTCTCCCAGCATACACCGCGGGCGGGTGCCGAAGGCTTCCGACCCTAAGCTCCTCTGGGATTTAACCCGGCTTCTGAGATCTCTTCGTGGTGTTTTTTATGCATTGTCTAAGCGTTGGCGGCCGATTAGCTCAGTTTGTTAGAGCGCGATGTTATAACATCAGCCGCAGAAACAAACAGACATTGGCTTTTGGCTCTTCGGGTTGTTCTGAGCCCCCAACTCAAATTCTTGGAGGCAGGCGCTTTCCAGGCTCCTGGAAGTGGTGGCGCTGAGGGAGCTTGAGAAGATGGATGGAACTGGGAAATGGAGCTAGTGAAGGGGAGAAAGAAATAGCTGAACTGTTGTGTTGAGTCAATCTGTGGTGATTTCCTGGAGATTTGCAAGACCCCACGAGAAGGTGGCATTTAATTTGATGAGGTAAACCTTACCATGGTTTACCAGAAGTTTGAACTGTGATTCCGGTTTTAAAGGCCGAGTAGGGTTTCCCGGGCGAAGAAGAGGTGAAAGACATTATAAGCAGATAGAGCAGAATGGGCAGGGAAATGAACAATGTGTTCAATGAATAGTATTCTCTGAGGAGGGAGGAAAAGTGCCAAAACAATGCTGAGGCCGCAAAGTTAGTTTTAGTAACAGTTTTAAGACTATGTAAGGCGCTTTAGTGTTTATTGTTTTAGGTAATGGGGACGTCATTAAACGTTTTTCAGAAGATGAGTCATATACTTAGATCCACTTTCCCCCATTTTATATTTGTAGAGTGTTTTAAAGTTGACAGAGTTTGTATTTAATCCTCGCACAATTATCTTCTGGCACTGAAGGATAGATTTCAGGAGATTGAAAGTGAAGACAGCAAAAATCTGTTAGAAAGCTCTTGCAATATTTCAGGCAAGAGATGAAGGCTTGACTAGAGCAATCATCAGGAAGCGTTCTGAATGTAGAAACAACCTTTTTTTTTTTTCTCGTGTCCGGCAACGGATCGCAACCCTCAGTGTCGCTCCCGTACTGGACCAGACCGGGACCGGCAACGGGATAGCAACCTTCGGTGCTGCACCCGCACCTCGCTCAGCCAGTGAGCGGGAACCAGTCTGTATGTGGGATCCGAACCCTCGGCCGGAGCGCCACCGCGCTCACAAGCGGCGCACTGTAGCAGTGCGCCACCAGGCGGCCCAGAAACAACCTAACTTAATGATTATAGATAGTACCTTGGATAACAGTGAACTGCCTTCCATACCAAAGCTACCCACCTTTACCTCTCATTCTTTTTTTTTTATTTTTTATTTTTTATTTTTTTTTTTTTTGTCTTTTGTCTTTTTGTTCCGTGTCCGGCAACGGATCGCAACCCTCAGTGTTGCCCCCGTACCGGGCCAGGGACCGGCAACGGGATTGCAAACCTCGGTGTTGCTCCCATACCTCTCATTCTTTAAACACCCTTTGCTTAGAGCATTTGCAGACCCGCACCCCCTCCTGACTGAGTGAAGTCACATGACTGTGACTTTTCTGGCCACAGTTGAGTGGACCAGCATTGTTCATCTGACCCCAAATAGGCCAATTAGATTCTTGCTCCTGGAAATTTGGATTTGTGATGTAGAGTATAGTCAAGTCTGAGCTCAGGAATTTCTGAGCCAAAGTACACAGGTGGCTGTGAGTGGATGTCAAACAGGAGAAAGCCTACTGTGGAAATATTAAGAAATTGAGATACTCGGTTAGAGTGTGGTGTTGGAACACCAAGGTCAAGCGTTCGGATCCTCATACTGGTCAGCTGCCAAAAGGAGGGGGAAAAAAGAAATTGCAATACTAAGAAAGTGGGAGAGAGTCTGAGGCAGGAAGAAACCATTTTGAATTCTGACTCCTTTCTAGATCTCCTTTCCAATTTCTAAGAGGTCCAGCATTACTTACTGCTTTTGAGTTCTATGAGATATCCATATGTTCCACTAAATCTTCCTTTTATTTTTTTCTTGCCTTTTCTATATTATAAAGACTTCTGCATGTTTTGGCTTGAGGCTCCTTCTTCCATCTTCAAAGCCAACAATCACATCACTCTGACCTTTGCTTTCATCATCACGTCTCTGATTCTGACATTCCGCCTCCCTCTTAGGAGGACCCTTGTGATTGCATTATTTGGCCCACCCAGGTAATCCAGGATAGCCTCCTCATCTTAAGATTCTTAATGCAAATACATCTGAAAAGTACCTATTTCCATATTAAGTAACATTCACAGGTTTCAGGGATTAGGATGTGGACATCTTTTGGGGTCCATTCTGTGTACCACACCCAGAAATAGACACAAATACATAGATTTAGTATATGATAAAGGAGGCATTCTGAATCAGTGGGGAAAAAACAGACTTTTATTAAATGGTGCTGAGATAATTGAATAGCCATCTGGGAAAAATAAATTTGGATCCATATTTTATTTAGTTATTTTCTTATTTGGCGGTTGGCTGGTAACAGCGATCAAACCTGGACCTTGGTGTTATTAACACTGTGCTATAACCAACTGAGCTAACCAGCCAATTCCTGAATCCATATTTCATACTTTCTGTTAGGATACATTTCCAAATGGATCAAAGATATAAATGTAAAGTATTAAACCATAATAGTTCTGAGGGAAACTATGGATCTTACAGTGGGGAGAATCTAGGTAATGACACAAACCCTAAAAGCTATAAAAGAAAATATTGATACATTTAATATCTTTAAGATTTTTATGACAGAACCCATCATAAATAAAGTCAAAATAACAGACTCAGGACAATTGGCGACCTACATCACAAAGAGTTATTTTTTCTTACATTTAAAGAAGTTCTACAAATCAATAAGAGAAAGGTAAATAAATCAGAAAAATGGCCAAAGGATATCAACAGTTGACAGCAAAGGAGACAAAAATAGCTCTAATGCATATATAGGGAAGCTCAACCACACACATAGTGAGATAAATGCAAATTAGAATTATACTGATATACCATCAACACGTTTGGTAATGTACTCTATTAAGAATTTGGGGAAGGGCCAGCCTGTGGCTCACTCGGGAGAGTGCGGTGCTGATAACACCAAGGCCACGGGTTCGGATCCTATATAGGGATGGCCGGTTTGCTCACTGGCTGAGCATGGTGCTGACAACACCAAGCCGAAGGTTGAGATCCCCTTACCGGTCATCTTTTTTTTTTAAAAAAGAATTTTGGATTGATATAACCATTTTAGAGGGCAGTTTGGTGATATCTATCAAAATTACAAATGCAGCTAGCCTTTGACTCAACAGCTCCATTTCTAGGAAGCTATACTACACATATACATGTGCAAAATTTCAGCATTGTTTACAGTAGCAAAAGGTAATAAACAACCTAAATGTTTTTCAATAGGGGTATAGTTAATCTATCCAGTGGACTATTTAATTTAAAGGAAAAATAGAAAAATATGTGTTCTTTTTGTATTGATCTGAACCTATCAACATACATGGTTAAGTGAAAAAGGCGAAGTGAGAAATGGTGTGTATTGATGTGTTATTGTTTAAAAAAGAGGGAGAGAAAAGCTCATATTTACACACTTACTCTTGCATACATGTTTGCTTTTGTATGTACAGGATAGCTTTGGAAGGAGAGACAAGAAACTGGTAATATTGGTTGCCTCCAGGAAGGGAAACTGGATGTCTGAGGGCAGAGGTAAGAGAGAAACTTTTTACATTCCTTGTGGTACTTTTTGAATTTTGGACTATATAAATGTATTACCTCCTCAAAAACTTGAAAAAGTAACACAGGTTTAGGTCCAATTTTTTTTTTTTTGGCAGCTGGTCAGTATAAGAATTGAACCTGGATCTTGGCGTTATCAGCACCATGCTCTAATCGACTGAGCTAAAAGGTCAGTCCCTCCTTTTTTTTTGCCTGCAACTTCTTCTGAAGCATTCTTCCATTAAACAAAACACTTAATAAAAGTTTTTATTTTGGAAAATTTTAAAAGGATGGAGGTACATCGAGAGCAAGAATTTGGCATAGTCTAAAAAAGAAACTGAATTTGGCATCAAAAACAGTCACTGGAAGGTATATTCCCTTGTGGGGCAAAAGTGATTCATCAGGATTCACAAGGCCTGTATACCTCTACTACCTCTAGTTATTTGGCCACCAAGCAAACTTCTTCACACTCCCTATTTTTTATTTTGAAAAAATTTAAACCTACAGAAATGTTGAAAGGACAGTACCCATCACTTAGACTCATCAATTACTAACATTTTGCTATATTTGCTCTCTTTTTCTCTTACACACAGACCTTTTTTTTTTTTTTTAACGTAACAGTGGGTTACTTCAAACCCACCGTTTTTTATTTTTTATGTTTGGTGGCTGGCCAATTAAGGTATCTGAACCTTTGACCTTGGGGTTATAAAGCTGAGCTAACCAGCCAGCCCTTTCATGGCTATACTTTTAAAAAGTCATTTGGGCTGGCCAGCTGCCAAAAAGAAAAGTCATTTGGGGGCTGGCTGGTTAGCTCAGTGTGGTGGTATAACACCAGGGTCAAGGGTTCGGATCCCTGTATTGGCAGCCACCAAAAAACAAAACAAAAAAGGCGTTTGGAAGTTGTAGCATAGCCTTGTAACACCAAGGTCAAGGGTTTGGTGCCCTGTACCGGCCAGCCATACACACACACACACACACAAAGTGGCAGATATGCATTTCCTAATAAGAACATTCTCCAATATAACCGTAATACTGTTACCACACCCAAGAAATTCATCTTATAGTTTATATTCAAATTTCCAAGTATGCCAAAATATCCTTTACAGGTGTTTTATTTTTAATACAGAATTCAAAGATCAAGCATTGCTTTTCAAATTTTTCTTTAGTTTCCTATAATCTAGGAGAGTTCCCTGCCTTTTTGTTTTGTTTTGATTTCAGTGGTATTGACATTTTTGAAGAGTCCAAAGCAGTTGTCTAGTCTAGAAAATGTCCCACAATATAGATTTGGTTACTTACTTCCTAATGACTAGATTCAGGTTAAACATTTATTTATTTATTTATTTATTTATTTATTTAAACTTTTTTTTTGTAAGAATACTATATCAGTGATGTGTATCAAGCTATCTAATCTGCCCCTTACAAATTCAGCTTCCTTAGAGCTCTTTTTTTTTTTTTTTTTTTTAAAGATGACCGGTAAGGGGATCTTAACCCTTGACT